GTGTGGTTGACCTCTTCTCCACAAGAAGGCAGGGCGGCCGTTCATGATGGTTCTTGCTTGCATCCGCCAGTTCAGTGCCAGTCGCTGCCAGTCGCTGCCCCGCGCCGCCCCAGGACCTCACGCAGGTGAAGGTGAAGCGGCAGTCCATCCTGGGAGCCGCTGTGGCTGCCACCGGAGTGGGCAAGAAGGACGTGTCCGATGGCAGGGTTTTGGGGAGGTCCAGCCGCCCAGCCGCCACGACATCGTCGGATCCGCACGTTTCTTCACAGTCACGGCCTTCCAAGATCCTTCCAGACGGCGAGCCCAAATGAGAGCCCCAAAGAGTCATGGCTTGTGGTGCCGGGGGGGTGGGCTGAAAGAAGTGGTGGGGGAGGCTTGAGCCAAAATGGCAGTAACTATAGTACTAGGTCCGGTCCTTACACCCTGGGTGGCGTTCACCCAGCCCGAGGGCGGCGTTAACGCCATGTTGCGTCCCATCCTCGTAGCGATGGCACCTTGTGACTAGTAGTACTAGGATGTACTAGGTGATGGTTTCGGATATTTTTATTTTCAACACTTACTTGGGAATGATTGGACCCTCTGACTAATATTGTTCAAGTGGGTTGAAAACACCAACCAGTAGTAGTAAGGCACCTGGCCTTTCTTTTCGCCACTCCGGCATAAGGGGATTCCCCACGGTCCGCCGCCCACCGGTCAGTGCCCAACCCGACGCCCCCGGTGTCGCAGCTGTGGCAGGACAGTCAGAGCTGGCTGCTTCGGCGCCAGGACTCCGCGAGCTCAGCCTTCGAAACGATTCGGAGTCAGGCCGCGCGGCAGGGGGACGCCGGTGGGGACGCCCTACCACATCCCCGGTGTGGTGTCCGGTTCCCGGTCGAGCGAGTTGGCGTATGAGCTCAGAGACCCCACCTGGGGCCGGTGGCCGTTCAACACGGAAAGGATGGAAAAAGGATGAAAAAGGCGTTCAGAACATTCAGAGCCCCAGAGTTTCGAGCTCCATTTTTTCGTTGCAAACTGAAGATCATGAAGATCATGGGCAATTGGTGGGGGGCTGCCCCGTTGCTTTGCGGCTCAGTTTGGGGGCCCGTTTGTAGGGATGAAATGGTGAAAGTGAAAACTTGGATTTATATAGTCATGTCATGTCATGAGGAAAGTCATTTGTTGGTGGGATTGATGTGCAAGGACATTCACATGCTTGAGCACATGATGCTTCGCGCACGAAATAGGGCGAACCGGGTGAACCTAGCGGCTCACCTTCCAAAGGGCACATTCACATGGCTTCGATGTTGTACCACTTTCGCACCATGTTCGATCAGAGTGCAAGGCTCCAATTTGTAATAATGGTCAGAGTGACCCACTATTGAAGCTTTTCATGAAGCTGGCAGGGTCTAAGCACGGTGCTGATCCAAACATTCCCACGCCAGCGAGAAGCTGGTCCGTCCTACTGGCTCCTGGTCACATGTTTCCCTCCTGCATGGCTGTGAGTGACTGCGTACCAAAGTGGAAACCATGCCATCCAGGCAGGCACGTCGAATGGTCCATCAACTGGTCGTGTCCAGAGCTTTTGACCTATCCGCACATGATCGCACATGTATATATAATTATGTATATATATATATATATGAAGTACCTTAAGGTTTATTACTATATACATAGATAACTATATATATATAAGAATAACCAGCAGGGGTGCCGTGCGGGGAGTGAATTTCACTCTCCCCACTCCACAAAACACTGCAAATAGCGGGGTTTTGTTTTTTAAGCTTTATGCATACAAAGGCACTGGTGACTAGGCAAAACACACTTTTTGTATCTTTTCGTTACCTTCACGAAGCATTTGCCATCTACATTTGAGGTTTCAAAAAACCTTGGGGAATAAATAAATATGTTTAGCAGCAAGTCTTCCTGTCATGCCACCTTCTGACCAGGAGTCTCTAAATATTGGTGCGTTTTTTCCGATGTGTTTTTGGTTTAGAGATGTTTTAGAGTGTTTTGTTTGTTTTCTCAAACTGCTCAATCCTTCAATAAGTTGAACTTACCATTACCGTGTTCATGGATTTTGTCAAAAATCAATGTGGAATACTTTGTCCTGGCCTTAACTAACCCTGAACCGAACCCTAAACCTTCTGTCTCCGGGAATGTAATTTTCCTTTGTATATGTGGCCGTCAGCACTTTTTTTCGTGGCCTTTGCAGTCTTTCACAGCTGTGTCAGCTTGTCACCGGCACCTCCATCCTCCTCTAGCATGACCAACATGGACTTGACCTTCGTAGAGTCCTTGAGGCACCAGCTTGGTGAGCGGGATGGACTCTTGTCCTTTGAGGAACTGTGTGCAAATGAATGGCATGAAGATTGCCGGTCCTCAAGCAAAGTCATTGAAATCTGACAGACCTGGCGGCCATGTGAGCCTTCCGGACCTCCGACCTCCCTCTTCGCGATCACTCGTGAAGGGGGTAAAATCGAGCAATTCGCCGACAGCATCCAGAACTTTCCGGCGCATGTCCCCATCAACCAGAACTTCTTGGACGAGATCTTGAACCCTCTTTGTGTTCAGGCGAAGTTCCGTGATCTTCCCCAACCCTTTTGCTTTAAGCCCGGGCCAAAGTGCCAAAGGCCATCAAAGGCCCTACAGTTTGCAGATCATTTTCGCTGCCGCACAAGTGCTCGTGGCATTGAGTTGGTGTATCAGAGGACCTTCTTCCACTGAAGCCGGTAATGGGATATACATGGATATACCCAGACCATCGGTTTTTGAGCGTGTGTTTCGTCATCGCTTCACTGTCCTTCTCTTCGTGGACATGCGCAACGACCTGATCAGCCAGAACCAGACGAATCACCTGAACAAATACAAAGCTGAGGTGAGTGCAAGGCGAACATCTAAGCCATATGCCTGCAACAAGAAGGGCGTCAAGGCTACGAAGAAGTGAATAGCTGAGAATGTATATGTACATAAATATATATATATATATATATGTACTTTCATGTGAATGCTGTGACAATACGGCAGAAGTCTTGCAGTCCACACTTAAATGTGTTTTAACAAGTTATGTTTAAAAAACAAAAAACATGTTGACCGCAATGTGTTTGCATTGGACCTTGGGGCAGATAATTTTTGCAAAATGTGTATTTGCTTGCTCAAAAAACAATCCCAGGGCAAGAGAACATTGTAAAACACAAACAATTGTTTCCTTAAATCCACTCTCCCAGCAACACCCGGTCTCCAATAAAAAATGTTTATGACAAGTCAACAAATGCGCGTATACAGTCCCATGTGTACATACACATATATATATATAAGTACGCACATGGCAATGGAGAGAGAGATAGAGAGAGAGAGATAAGTGATAACAATATATATATATATACGTAATATTATGCAATATTTAAAAACTATCCCAAAAAAAAGGTAAATATTAATATATATATATATATCACGATCAATGCATTGTCCAGTGAGATGGGTTTGCACCATTCGCTGGCCCAGCCTGCAAAAGGCGTCCGTGTCGTCTGGTGCGCCGGAAGACTTTGGGCTGGCGCCCTTGGTCGAGGCGGGGAGGTTGGGGGAGAAAAGTAAACCGGACGCAGCCGGAAACCCATTACACTTCCTGAAAGCCCGTTGAAAACTCTGAATCCTGGCCATGTGTTCTCTTTTCTCCACCAGCCAGTGGTTTTTAGATGCTTTTAGGCTTCTTGTGAGTTTTCACAAAAGTTTTCCATGTTAAAAGCTGGATGCGTTATGTTGCGCTCAGAGAGGTGGAGTTGGTCTTAAGAAAACACACACACACAATGTTGTTCGGACCTGATGGCGTGTAGGCCGTCCTGCCATGTGTTGGGACTATCACTCCGATAAGCTATGCCACGCATTGTGCCACACAATGATGGCCCAAAAATGGAAGGGAAGGGGGATCATATGTTTGAAGCGAATATACCAGGGAGCACTAAGAAAGGCACAGCGTTGCCAAAAGAATCCAGGCTACGGAAAGCCTCCTTCTCACTTGCGCTCAACCCTCGAGTTTCCACCAGTGCCTCCGGCTCCCTGCAGGAAGTCATGAAGGCCCGACAACCTCCGCCGGTGCGTGAGAATCCTCCCGATGACATGGAAGGGAGCAGGCCCGTCAGCAAACAGACCAGCAACTGTCCCTCCAACGACGAGCAGCTCCCGCCACCCAAACGAGTCGTGTGACACGGCTGGAGGGAGTGAGGATGGAGGGGCTCCTTCTTTCGGCGCAGAGCTGCAGAGTGGGGAGAGGTCAGAAATCATCAGTTGAGATATGTTGAGATGTTAAATTGGTCCGAAGCCACGTGTGGTATTTCGTGGTTCATCGTGGTTCCGTGTTTTGTCGTGGGGGCCTAAGCAGTAGTTTGTGGCTCTGGAGCATGCAGGTGAAGTAGCTTGTGGGATGGTTGATTGATGTCGCTTTGTTTGGCATCGAGTCGAGGAACTCATGCTACACTGACTCAGGCTGACTGTAATTCATTGATTGGTTACGACCTTATAAGTTCTCTACGGGTTTGGCATGTTCAAATTCTTTGAGTGCTGAAATGTACGTCGGATGACGTTCAGAACGGACAGCTTCTTCCGGCGCTTCGGGTGTCCCGGTGGGACCGGTGGGACCGTTCCTTCGAGACGACGTCATTCCTCAGGAAATTGATCCCCGAGCTGGACAAGCGTGCTGGGCCCTACATCATTTTCGATCAGGACCGGGTGAGAGACGTGGTGGTTGTTTCACCGGTGCCCCTTTCAAAGGCACCAAGAAGCTGGTAAGTGATGTACCATGATCATGGTCGAAACGATCCGGTTTCGGTTCGGTTTGGTGTTGCATCAATTTTTATCGGTTGGATGCTTCGGTTCAATTGTTCATCGGTGCGGTTGACGTTTCAATTCCATGCTATCGGTTCGATGTTCGGTTCAATACATTTACATTATTGAAAGTATTGTTTTCCCTTTTTTTCGGTTCGGTCGTCGGTTCGGTTCGGTTTGCAGCACCAGCAGGGCCAGCAGCAGCGTCGAGGGCAAAATCGGGCGGCGGCCACCTCACCAAGACCATTGCAGGGTTGACCTAGGAAAAATAAGACATAACAGCTTCCAGGTAGCGCGGGTGAACTATACTACGTTTAGGCCATGCTTATACCTTCCTCACATAGACTTCTCCTTCAAGGAACTCACGGCTCACTACCAGAGCTTTCGCGCTTTCCCCAGCAAAAAGGTCTAAACCCACCAAAGAAGGCTAAGGGCGGAAACCATGTCCAGGTGATTTTTCACACAGGCTGCGATTTGAATCGCAACCCAAGACTGCGGATGCCAAGGGAGAATGTTGGCAAAGGCC